TAGAGCCAAGTGTTAGATTTGTAACATCAAAAGAGAGCAAAGATGCTAAACAAACAAAGCCAAAGCAGTGCTTGCTCATTTGAAATAGCACTTAGCAAATACTTCCACTTAGTCTAGTGTCTAAAGAGCAAAGATACTCCTCTTATTTTTTTTTTAAATTTCCTGGCACTAACACAGTGCCTTGCACCTAGCTGACCTTTGGTAATTGTTTTCTTAATAAAATTCTCCTTTCTTGGGGAAAAGAAACCAAAGGTCCTCCACAGTGGAAGGAAATAATTTGACCTGATATATAAAAGAAGCAAAAAGGCAACTCTCTAATAGTATGTGTAAGTAGTTGGTAAACTATGTCACCACAAAGGCTTCTCTTATCAAAGGTGACTCATACTAATCAGATTCTTGCTCACATCAAATGGTATCAACAATTAGCAAAGGATACAAGCAAAACAAGACACAGATTTAGTGTTGCTTTCTGATGGGGGCCTAAACCCATCGGATTCAGGTGCTGATCATCCCTTTTCCCTCAGTGATGTGTGTCTTGGTTTTTTGGAGTAAAAGGCTAACAACGGGTATGGTACATGTCAGCTCAGAGGAAGTTGTTTAGGTTTGAGCTTCTTAGCTTTATGCTCCAATAATCACACAGGCTAGAGACTTTATAAACCTTATCGCATAAATCCATAAATCTCACAGTCTGGAGTGTTATAAACTACATCTCATAAATCCATAAATTCTCCATCTATTTATAAGAAACAGTCTGGATGGGTCAGCTATATCCTTTAAAACATTCATGGAGAAGAACTTCTCCATTATCTTTCCAGAAGTAAATATCATTGGCATGTTTTCAAGGTAATCAACACTACCCAGGCTTCTGGAGGAAGTAAGGAAGGAATCCTAAAAGTATAAATAAGATCACAAAGCCTATGAGGAGAACCTGAAGTTCAGCTGTGAACGTGTATGTTCCAAGAACAGAGATCAACTTGATTATAAATCTATCCTTGTTGATGCTGTTGCAAAAATAGCCTTTTTTTCCTCACTCTGACCATTTTATCTCCTTCCCTGATATTCTACCACCATCATCTCTCTCCCTTAGACTAGAGATTTCTGTGCTGTCCAGTAAGGTAGCCATTAGCCACATGTGGCTACTGAACATTTGAAACGTGGCTACTGTGACTGAAGAAACAAATTTTAAAATTTAATTTATTTATACATGTTTAAGCTTTACATTTAGATCTATAATTCTTTTTTGAGTTAATTTTTATATAAGATGCAAAGTATGAATAAGTTTGTTTTGTTTTTTTGTATATGGATATCCAAGTTTTCCAGCACCATTTGTTGAAATGTTATCATTTCTCCATTGAATTGCCTTTACACCATTGTCAAAAATCAACTGACCTTATATATACAGGTGTATTGCTGGATGCTCTTTTCTGTTACACTGATTCACTTCCTTTAGATTAAAATCACACCATCTTGATTATTGTAGTTTTTTAAGTCTTGAAACTTACAAGTACTGTTAGTCTCTCAATCTTGTTCTTTTTCAGTTGTTTCAGTTTTACAGTTCTGTGTGAATTTTAGAATTAATTTATCAGTCTACACAGTCTGCTGATATTTTTATTGGAATTACATTGAATCTATAGATCAATTTGAGAATTCATATTTTAATAATCTTGAATCTTATGATGCATGAACACAGTATATGTCTCCACTTACTTAGATCTTGCTTCTCTGAGCAGAGTTTTGTATTTTTCATTGTAAATGTTTTGTACATCTTTTGTCTAATTTATCCCTAAAGACTTATTTTTGTTACTGTAAACAGTATTATTTTCTTACTTTCAATTTCTGGTTATTTTGTTGCTAGTATATAATTTTTGTATATTGATCTTATTTTCTGCATCATTGCTAAACTCATTTGTTATTTTTAGTGGTAGTTTTTTTAAGATTTAATAGAATTATCTACATAGATGGTCATGTCATATGCAAATAAACTTACTTTTTCCTTTCCAATCTGAATGTTTTTCTTTCTTTTATCTTGCCTATTACAATGGCTAAAACCTCTAGTATGTTGAATAAAAGTGATAAGAGCAGTCATTCTTGCCATGTTGCTAATCTTAGGAGGAAAGTATTTGCCTTTTGGCATTAAGTATGATGTTCCTATGGGCTTTTAGAGGATATCCTTTGTCAGATGGAAGAAATTAGCTTCTATTTTTAGTTTGCTGAGAGTTTTATCATGAATGCCTGTTGAATTTTGTCAAATACTTCTGCATATATTGAGATGGTTATATGGTTCTTTTTTAGCTTATTATGTGCATTACATTGATTTTCAAATATTAAACCAACCTTGCATTCCTTGTCTAAAACCCACTTGATCATGATTATCATAATAATGATGTATTATCCTTTTATTCAATTTGCTGAAATTGTTAAGAATGTTGGCATCTGTGTTTAAGTGAATATTGGTCTGAAATTCTCTTTTCTTGTAATGTCTTTCTCTGGTTTTCAAATCAGAGTAATAGTAATGCTGGTCACATAGAATGAGTTATTAAAAAAAACTCCCAACTTCAATTTTCTGAAAAATCTGTATAAAATTGGTAATCTTCTTTCCTTAAATATTTGGTAAAATTCATAGTACAGCCATCTGGGCCTGGAATTTCTCTTTGTAGGAAGCTTTTAAACTACAGACTCAATTTCTTTGATATATGAGCTAAGTAGCATATAACAGATATATGACTAATCAGATTATCTTTTATTGAATGTGTCTCTTAGTTTTTATCTTTCAAGGCATGTATCCATTTCACCTAAGTTGTTGAATTAATTGGCATAAGGTTTTTTATAACATTCCATAATTTTCCTTTTAATATCTATAGAATTTATGTCACCACTCTCATTCCTATCATTGGTGATTTGTATGTTCTATCTTTTTCTGTCTTTTGCTGATCAGTCTAGCTAGAGGTTTAGCACTTTTACTGGTCTTCCAAAAAAAAGTTTTATTCATTTTCTCTATTGCTTTTCTATTTTCTATTTCTATTTCTGCTCTTATCGTTATTATTTTCTTTTTCCTATTTTAGTTTTCATTTGCTTTTCTTTCACTAGTTCTTTAAGGTGATTTGAGATCTTTGTTCTCTTCTGATACAGGCATTTGCTGCTATAAATTTCCCCTATGTACTATTTTAGCTGAATCCAACAAATATTATATTTTCATTTTCATTCCACTAAAAACACTTTGATTCCTCTTTTGATTTTTTTTTTTGACCCATGGATTATTTAGAAACCTGTTATATAACTATAAAGTAGTTGGAGATTTCCCAGATATCTTTGTTACTGATTTCTTTTTCAATACTATTGTGGTCAGAGGACATGCTTTATGATCTGAATGATCTTTAAGTATTGAGACTTATTTTATGGCCTAGAATATGATCAATCTTAGTAAATGTTTCATGTGCATTAAAAAAAAAAAGAATGTGCATTCTGCTCTTATTAGATTGAGTGTTCTATAAATGTAACTTGGGCCAAGCTGGTTAATAGATGCTCAAGTCTCCTATATTCTTAGTGACTTTTTGTCTGCATAACTCATTGGTCAAGGGAGGCCCATAGGTCATTAATTCTGACCCAAGTCTACAGCACCTGAGAAGTATCTGGGGCAAGAAGTAAGAGCTATCAGTGTAGGCCCAAGGATTCTATCAGCTTCTAAGTATACCTACCCCAATTATATACATTTAGGGACTATAGAAATAAACAGAGTGGGGCCAGACCCATTGAACCCATTAAGATGGACTTTGGCAAGGACTCCATTTATCACTGGGCTTCTATAAAACCAGAGACCACAGTGTTCTGGATCTGTTAGGATCCGTATCAGCTCAGACTTTATATCAAACTGTCTTTGGTTGAAAAATCTGAGTATGCCTATCTCCCTGCATAGTTACCCTGGTAAATGATGTTAAATGACTGCCCCCTTTGGGGAAGGATTAAGGGGATGTTTATCATATACACTTGAGGATTCTTACTCAAGGGGATATGGGCTTTCCCTTCCATCAGTGGGCTCTAGATATGAACTGCCTTAGATCTGGAAATTGGGTGAGGAACCCAGTGTTTATACAAGTGGTTATACGAGTCAAATAACACCCTAATCAGTTTTACCCCTTGGAACATCATGATCTTAACATTCTTCCCAGATTCATGCCTTGGTACCCATTAATTATGTCCTTTGGGTTTCTGACAAGTTCCAAAACTTGACCTTCAACATTTCTGCATCCTATCATCTAAACTAATATCAAGAGCCCAATTTCATGGCAGCATCTTCTACCATCAATTATAGCCTGTAGAGGCCAGCCAATGCCAAGCTTCTCAAAAAAGTTGCCAGTACACCCTTCACCGTTACATTTCTTATTGCCTAGTTATTGACAAGTATCATCTGAGTCTTCCAAGGAAAAACAGTCAAATGGTAGCTTTTCCAGTCTCAAACAATAAATCTCTTCTAACACTGCCACTTCTCTGAGCTTTCTGACCCCTTCCTCCATACTATGCCAAATAACTTCCAGAATTTCCACATCTTTCATATGCAATCCTAGCAGTGTGTTAGGACCAACTCCAGAAATCCTTGCCAGGGCATTAAGTCTGATCATGAGGAAGTGTTACCATGCCACTCTCTCCTATCAATCTCATATTGGAGAAAGAGGGCCAAGAGAATTTGAAGTAGCATACCAGATGTGTCAATACAGTTATACATAATGCATAGTTAACACAACAACTTAAAAATCAGTGGACACCAGTAGAAAATTAAATAATTTTGAAATACAGCTTTTTACTTACAAATATAAATCAACATTACAAAGTTTGAAAATAAAAACCAATGGATTTTAACCTACTATTTTGAATGAAACAGTAGCCCTTATATATTTGTTCAAAACCCTCAATAAGTAGCCTGAGAAAGTTAAATATGATAGACTAATAGTATATTTACTCCACTTTCAGGTTTTGACTAATATGAAAAAATTTCATTTGTTAGGAGATAAAAAGTACATGCAAAGTAGAAAATCATGAATTTTGATAAAAGTAATATAAGGTATTTTCACTTATGTAAATAAACATAAAAAGAAACTTACACAGTAAAAGAAGTAAATAATTTGGGAGAAAAATAAACTTTATTATTATATTTAAATAAACACAAAAATGATATTTGGATGATGGCTTTAATTTCCCCGACAGTCTTTATGAAGGTTTTGTACTTGATGGCAATAGTGCTTTTCCTTTCTGCTTAGCAGCCTTTTCAATTTTTGTCTGTAAATTTAAAATATTTGTTGATATAATAATTTGTAAAACATTCTAAAGAAAAAAAGGTTATACATACCTCATTTGGATTCATATCTTATTTATCACAGCCATTTCAGTTATTTAGCAGTTTTTAAGTTGCTAAATGTTAAAGCCAAAATCTGATGGTTGAAGGGACCTAATTGCATTTTTTAAATATGGTTTGATTTCAACTTTACCAAAGCATTTTCATTAAAATTGTACAATGAATATTGCTTTGGAGAAAATGAATAAGTAATTTTAATTGCCACTAAAAAACTTTTTTTTTTAAAGCTTAAATGCCTAAACTTACATTCAGCTTATGCACATTCCCTATAGGGTTAGAAAATACACTGGATTATCTCCAGAACATGGACTGCTTTAAGGATTCGTTTTCTTACTTTTAGTTTCTACATTTCTACGGTTACCTTCCTGATGTCTGTCCTTCATTGTATCTAAAGCAAAGAAGAAGCTTGCATACCCTAAAGAGTGGCCTTATGACCTTTTAGAAACATATAAACCATTTCTGTGGGGAAAAAAAGAACCCAGAGAACACAAAGCCCTCTAGCCTCTTACTTACTACCACTCACACTCATACGCACTGATTCCCTGAGAAAGCACCACTGCCTTACCCTGCAAGAGAAGGGGAGACAAAATACAGGGCATGGGAGATGGAGGTAGGGCCTCCTACCTTTTAAGGTGACAGGAATAGTATCAAGAAATCAAAAGGGACCCAGTAAAACCAATCTACGTAATCTCATCAAACTGAAAATAACTTCCCAATAATAAAATTTAATGAATCTCACCCTTCTCTTCCCCTTTTTTTCTCTCTACCTCCATTTAGAGTCTGCTAAGAATCTCATCCAGAGATCATCCACTCATACTACTCTTACACACTATACCAGTCAATAGGTCATCTGAAGGACCCCCACGAACACATTATGTTAAGGCAAAGATTACAGGCTTTGGAGTCAGGGAAGTATCTGAATCCTCCTTCTATCATTTGTCAAACATTTGAGGCAAGTTATTTAACCAACAGTTTTCTCATTTGTCAAAAAAGGTCATAGTAATAGGTACTCCTCAGGGTTCTAAAGGTGTAAATAAGATCATATATAGAAAGACCTAGGTACTTAACAAGCATTCAACAAATGTTAGTCACTTTTCCCCTCTCACTTAGAGCCAAGTGTTAGATTTGTAACATCAAAAGAGAGCAAAGATGCTAAACAAACAAAGCCAAAGCAGTGCTTGCTCATTTGAAATAGCACTTAGCAAATACTTCCACTTAGTCTAGTGTCTAAAGAGCAAAGATACTCCTCTTATTTTTTTTTTAAATTTCCTGGCACTAACACAGTGCCTTGCACCTAGCTGACCTTTGGTAATTGTTTTCTTAATAAAATTCTCCTTTCTTGGGGAAAAGAAACCAAAGGTCCTCCACAGTGGAAGGAAATAATTTGACCTGATATATAAAAGAAGCAAAAAGGCAACTCTCTAATAGTATGTGTAAGTAGTTGGTAAACTATGTCACCACAAAGGCTTCTCTTATCAAAGGTGACTCATACTAATCAGATTCTTGCTCACATCAAATGGTATCAACAATTAGCAAAGGATACAAGTAAAACAAGACACAGATTTAGTGTTGCTTTCTGATGGGGGCCTAAACCCATCGGATTCAGGTGCTGATCATCCCTTTTCCCTCAGTGATGTGTGTCTTGGTTTTTTGGAGTAAAAGGCTAACAACGGGTATGGTACATGTCAGCTCAGAGGAAGTTGTTTAGGTTTGAGCTTCTTAGCTTTATGCTCCAATAATCACACAGGCTAGAGACTTTATAAACCTTATCGCATAAATCCATAAATCTCACAGTCTGGAGTGTTATAAACTACATCTCATAAATCCATAAATTCTCCATCTATTTATAAGAAACAGTCTGGATGGGTCAGCTATATCCTTTAAAACATTCATGGAGAAGAACTTCTCCATTATCTTTCCAGAAGTAAATATCATTGGCATGTTTTCAAGGTAATCAACACTACCCAGGCTTCTGGAGGAAGTAAGGAAGGAATCCTAAAAGTATAAATAAGATCACAAAGCCTATGAGGAGAACCTGAAGTTCAGCTGTGAACGTGTATGTTCCAAGAACAGAGATCAACTTGATTATAAATCTATCCTTGTTGATGCTGTTGCAAAAATAGCCTTTTTTTCCTCACTCTGACCATTTTATCTCCTTCCCTGATATTCTACCACCATCATCTCTCTCCCTTAGACTAGAGATTTCTGTGCTGTCCAGTAAGGTAGCCATTAGCCACATGTGGCTACTGAACATTTGAAACGTGGCTACTGTGACTGAAGAAACAAATTTTAAAATTTAATTTATTTAAATTTAGACTTACAGAGACACATATAATGAATGGCTACAATACAGATATAAAATATTTTTATCACTGCAGAAGATTCTACTTTCTAATTCTGCCTTAAATCATACCCAGGACTCTCCCCTTCTACTTTGAAATTCTTCATCAGGAAAACTAAACTAATCTCTTTGTCCCCTATTCACTTCATCTGCTATTGATGGGGAATTTATTTAATGGTCTTCTTTTCCACATTTTCAGTTACTCCATAAGTTCTTGTCTAAGAGTTGCAGAGGACATACAAAATGTGACAAGAATGTCTTTATTTTCATGGCACTTGTTACCTACTTGGAGAAATAATAAATGGCCACAAAGTAACTCTAAAATAAGCCCTAAGGAAAGTATTTTGGGGAATATACCAAATGGCTGGATCCCATTCCTCATAACAGGTCAACATCCTTTTATCTGGTGATAAACAAAAGCAAAGCTAAACTTTCAAATATGAACACTGTCATGAGACATATCAAATGTGTAAGTAGATGGTGTATGAAAGCAAATATCACTTATATCTGTGCTTTTTTTTCCAATTTTCCATAAATATTTATTGAAAACTTAACTACATACAAGGCACTGTATTTAGTTCTGGGAAAAATACAAAGAAGAAAATTCTATGCTTATCTCCAAAGAAGTTTACAGTGTGGTGGAGAACTGATGAAAATTATCATTACTGAAAACTGGGAACACAGTAATGCTGTAGTTGTTGAGTCATGGATATTGTAGCAATGCCTTTATGTTTAGTTTTCTGTTTCTTAAAGGATACTGAGTAATTTTAACTTGAGTCTGGATATATCTAGAAGCCACTAAGAAGAAATACTACATATTAAGAATTCAAGATACAATTTACAGATCTGCTGATGATTCATATTTATTAGACAGTTTTATTTGTACAGTTGATCTTTGTGATCTCCGCATATTAACCAATGTATTATATATATTATTTATTAGTCCTATTTCTCTGAATTGTTCTAAATAAGCCTCCGGCTATATAAGACTTTATAAATTATCTTTAATGATGATCCAAATCAATAATATTAATGTTCCAGTGTCTTTGTTATAAGCAAATGCTTATTGTACACAGATTTTCCCCACACACTTACCCTTTCCTGGTATCGTCTTTCAAAGAAAGCCATATCATCCTCTTCAGGTCTCCTTAAGGAAGAAACTTGACTACTTGTACCTACTAATAAGGAAAAAAAATTCTAAGTAATATATGTATGTAATTATAAATTCTCCTGAAATAAAGAAAACTTTACTCCTACCCAGTGATTTAAATAAACCCAGTGATAATTTATTTTTCAAACCAGAAATTATCTAAATGGATAATTGATCCTACTACCTAAGTCTCTTTTAGAAAGCAAAGAGTGTAAGACAAAAGTAGTTTTCACTGGCAAACATTCTCCAAATATTCATATTAAATAATGCCATATGGCTATTTCATATAAAAGCACACTTACCTTTGTTCAGCTACATTTTACATCTTATAGCTACACTAGAAATGCCTGAACAGAACTATTCGGCATATAATCTGAGTATTTGTATCCCCCCAAAATTAATATGTTGAAATCCTAATGTCCAATGTGATGATCTTAGGAGGTGGGACCTTTGAGAAAGAGGAGCCCTCGTGAATGTGATTAGTGTTCTTACAAAAGAGACTTCACAGAGATTCCTCAGCCCTTCCACCATGTGAGAGCACAATGAGAAGGCAACAGCTAATGAATCAGGAAGAAGGCCTTCATCAAAATACAACTATGCTGGCACCTGATCTTGGACTTCCAGCTCCATTAATTGTGAGAACTTTCTGTTGCTTATAAGCTACCCAGTCTATGCAGTCTATGGTGTTTTGTTATAACCACCCAAGCAGGCTATGACAGTTTGTGTAGGCAACCACAAGTGCTGATACTACCTGCCTTGAAATTTGTCAAAACTAAAATAATTCTAACCATTTTCCATGATGTTTACTTTTTTAAACTAATCAAGTACTAGTCTGTGATTAAAGGAATTTAAAATTGCCTCAAGAAGGAAAGTCTGGTTTTTTTTGTAGGTACACAGAGAGCCTAGTCTCATGGGCAAGTCCACCTTCATTTCAGGTGAATGCCTTGCTTGGGTCCCTTCACATCCAAAATAGAATTATCAACCTGAACACCTGTTCTAGTTTTTAAAGCATATGAATTCATCCTCAATCAGCAACAAAAAAGTCATATTACTCCACACAGTCACCACAGAGTACAGCCACACTGCAACTAACTAACAAAAGCCTTGCTAAGAAAAGTTGCTTAGAATATGCGCTATCTATCCATTTGTCTGAAAACTCTGGGTTTCTCCTTGGATTTTGCTGACTGAGCTCTTGTAAAATCACCTTCACTGAGTGGGCAAAGGGTTTGTTTGTGTTTATACAGAGGATCAAAGCCTAATTTGGCTACCAAGAAAAAGATTTAAGATAC